CACGGGTCATTTTTGTGCACTCTCTTAAAATGTAGGAGTCCATACTGTAGGTATTTGCTGCTCAAATTCTGACCGTGGGGAAATCATTTCCCCTCCAGTCTGCTCCTAAACCAGAGTAAAGAACTCAGAAATAGAGCAAATGAAACAAACTTTCCTACCTCCCTCTGGGATTTGAGTATTTGGGAGGGTGGATCCCAATCTATGTAAAATGTTTCACTAGGGCTTGAAGCCTTTACTCGATCATCAAAGGGGCACAGAGCAGCTTATGATTGATAGAGTTGTCTGGAAGATCTCAGGAACAAAATGTATTCTTAGTAGCTGATACAAGAATTCTTCTAAGGAAAAAAATCCAGCTTTATTGATTAAATGCCTAGATCGATAAGCCCTCCAGAATTCGTAGGTTTTGACAAAGACTTGGACTCTGAGGCTATGAAATTGGGGGTTTGACTGAACAGTGTTTGTTCCTCCAGGAGCCTTTAGCTTGGATACAGGAATTACGGATGCAGTTAAAGGTGGAAAAGATACTGTTGACACAGGTTGTTTGGTAGTTATAAGATTATACACATTCTCCTAAGCATTATGACGTATTCAAACCTGACTTTCCTAAAGCACAAGAACTATTGGATAAATATTTCCTGTGTATCTGTAATAACAAGGCACAAAATGACTTACAGAGATCACAACAAGCTTTTTTAATCAACAGTTTTAATCCCAGGAATGAGTTGCAAAATTACATTCCTTACAGGAATGCTCTGTTTACTTTATCATTCTGGCAAATAAATAATTGGAAATGGAGTTTGAGGAAATTTATAACCAAGAGACAAGGACAAAGCTCAGATGCCAGGGTGTGAATGACAGTGTCATTTGGTGAGGTTCCCTGGTATTTATGTAGTCACTTACTTATTTGTTTTGAGGAGCTTAGCTAAAATGTTTAATTTATCAAATCAAAGTGATCTCTCCAAGATGTTCACATAAACAATAGAGAAACCCCACTGTCTAAAATGAGCTCCTGCCTACATATAATTAGGAACTGACACCATAATTTTCCGAGCCATATTGCTCATGAAGTGAGAATCTGATCATTTCTACTCATCGATGAGTGTACCGTGTAGGATATTTGGTAATATAAACGCTCTGAACCTGAGGAACATGGCTACTTCTTGCTCATCCACCATGTAGGTCAGGATGACAGCTTGGAAGTCGGATGGGTTTGCAGCCTCCCTGGGGTTTAGAAGAGAAAGAGAGAGAAGAGAAGAGAAAGCGGGATAAATATCTCAGGCTGAACAACCTCATTAAAGGGAGAAAGCAAAACACTAAGCCAACCACCACTCGGAATCCTGGATATTCAGGAGAAAACGTTTCGATGTACACAATGTAAATGAAGAAAAGCCATTCATTACATGAGGGTAGAAGGGATTGACTTGTAATTTTATCCCTGTCTGGAAACTGGATTGTGGTGGTGGTTCTGTTGAGCAGGTACATAGTACAAAAGGTGGATGAAGCTTAGTCCATTTATTTATTGAAATAGGATCTCAGGGGAGAAGTGGGAAGGCTTCTCATCTAAGTGAACCTGAACTCCCAAGGAAGTGCAACGAATATGTCTAGAGTGCTTCTGCTAGAAATCAGGGCTCTGATATTAGGAATGAATTTCCTAATGAAATGCCATCTTTAAATGATCTGGTCAGTTATTCATCTGCAGTTACCCCCAGGCTACAACTCTGGGCCACCACCCTGGTGAAGAGAGTTATGCAATCCTAGTTGCCTTAATTGAATATTGAAGACAAAGGCAGTTAATTGTCCAAATCCTCAAGTGTTTTCAACCATCTTAAAATTCTGGGTCATGGGAATTACCTTAGTCATGCCACATAACCAGGAAGAAAATGTGCATCAGGAAAATACTTTGAGATTCACTGACCTCAACATTGTGCAAGTTAATTAGAAATTGGCCATTTGTATGTGACATAGCTGCATGGTGAGAGGGTAGGAATATTTCTTTAGCAGAGCTGCATGTGTGCACAAAAGTAGCTCTTGTTCTTTTTCTATGGCACAAAGATATTGAAAATATGCTTGTAATTCGTAATGCCCGATGGGAAAGCTGCAGGCACCTGACCTCAGGCAGCTTGTGTTTCAAGAGCTTGTCTGCCCCTCTTCTTTTCATGGCAGGCAGATGCAATACATGGTGCAAATCAAAGTCATTTATTTGCTTTCTATCTTCTCTTCTGCTTCTTACTCCTCTTTTCTCCCCCCAAGGAGTTACGTTGATGATCACAGACCTCACGCCTTTTTCCCTTTCAATTCTTAAATGAATATTTGCTACAGAGAAAACACAGAAAACAATTGTTCATCTTCTGCAACCTATGTTTTCTGGGAGTCATCAGACATTATGCTGAGTCCCGGGCTGTTGTGACTCTGAGGTCTACCTGGGTGACCAGAGAGGGCTGCTCCTTCTATGGGGCTTTTCCAGAAACACCGACACGTTTGATCCTATGTGAGACGAAATGGAAAAAAGCAGGAATAATTGTAGCTTTGTTTCTAGCTTGAAAGACAGAACTTTGGGTTCTAGGAACAAGAAAACTTGTAATGAAAATAACTACTATAAACTTGACCTTATCAAGAATACAGAGATTTCCCAAGCTATACATTTCTTTATTTTGAGCTATAAATTAAGATCCTCACCTAGTTTTAACCTGAGTGGTTTCTATTCCAAATTATAGAAGATAAAATATTAGGTAAATATCTCCCTATTCCTAAATATCTCTCTATTCCATTGTTACCAACTGGAGGAATGCAACAGCCTTTGATCTGGTGATTTCATTTCCATTGTTGTTTCCCTTTTTTTTCCCATGAAACAGAAAGAATTATTTTTAAAAATGTTCAGTGGTGTCCTGTCATACTAGTCCCCTGATTAAACCCTTCAGTGGGTTCCAGGGTTTGTGTCTCAAAGCACTCAGTGTGGTCTGATAGACCTTTTCTCAATCCAGTGTCATTATTAATGTAACCTGCTTATTTGCATAATATCTGCCTTTTGTATTAAACTATTAGCCTTTTGAGGACACGGACCACATAAATTTATCCATCCATTATTTTTTATTCACAGAGCATGAACAAGATGGTTCTTTGACCACATGGAAAGGGGGGGAAATCACGCAGGTAATAACTTAACGTGCAATCTAATTTTAGAGAAAATAATGCCATGAAGTGCCTGGCCGGGATGTCAGTCTGAGGGATGGGATTAGGTCAGAAAAGAATTTCTGGTGTAAGTGATATGTAAGCTGAAGCCTAAAAGATGAACAGAAGCTAACCAGGCAGTGCAGATAGCCAAGGATGTTTCTGGAAGAGGTGGGAGATGCTAAATAATTATACTGTGATGCTTGTCATACGGTGCAACAGTGATGGTACTTGGTGTGTGAGCTGAGTAGCCGAGAAGGAGGCCAGACTGTTGGGAAGGCCAGTGGGAACCATCAGCTCTGCGGAGCATCGGGAAGCCGTTAAGGAGTCGTGAACAAGGATTCCGAGGATCACAGTGACACATTCCAGCACTCGGACTTCCTTATGCAGAATGACCTGGGGCAAGAATGGGGGTAAACAAGTCAGAGGACAGCTTCGGTAACCCAGGCAAGCAGCTTGGGTGACTTGGAGTAAGACAGAGTGAAGCTATCCGGAAGAAGAGGCACATCTGAGCGATTATTAGGCAGCAGGTCAAGCAAGGTCAGCTTTTTGACCGAACGTGAGAGTGGAGAGAAGAGTCCGGTACCTCTGAGGTTTCCGGCTTGGGCTGTAGGAGCCTCCGAGGAGAAGCCATTGAGAAGGGGGGATGGAGATGAGGTCTGGGTATACCGAGCGTGAACTGCCCAGAAGCCAGCGTGTGCACCCGAGTCTGGGTTCCACAGAGAAACCTGGCACAAAGATTAGAGATTTACAAGCACGGAGGCCCATGAAGTCACCCACGGTGCCAGAGTAGGGCAGGAAGAGAAGGTGGCCTGGGATTAAACCTTGAGAAAACATTTCATATTTCATATTTAAAGGGCACGCAGCAGAAGAGGACCTTTAAAAAGCCTGCGAGCAAAAGATGGTAGAATTATGGAAGCCGCTGGAAGAAAGTATTGTAAGGGAGGGCTGGTCAAGTGGTGAGAGTCTTCAGTGGATCCATCAAAAAGAAACTGATTTGTCAGAAATTAATGCAGTGGTTTCAGGAGCGCAGTAGGTCAGAAAGCTGGATGGTGGGGGATACGAAGGAATGGGGATTAAAGTAGGGGATGTTTATAAGGTGCTTAGTCACTGAGGAAGAGAGGTGGAGGGATAGCTGGGAGCACATCAGTAATTTTTTGTTAAATACAGGAATGCTCAAACATGCTACATACTCATGTAAACCATGAGTAGAAAGTGACTGGTTGGAAACATCAAAGTAATTGAAGAAAATGTTCAAATCTTTGTATCGTAGAATACATACAGTTTCCTAATACATAGGTAAAATCAAACGTCAGGAAATTTGCTAATGTAAATTACAACAGGATTCTATTTTCATTCAGTTTCTATTTGCTGTCAAACATTGTGGAAGATTTATGTTAGGCCAGATATTTATTTGACTCATAATTTCCTTAACATAAACTTAGTTTGGATTTTATTATTTACAAGATGTTTGAAATCGGGCTTTTTGGAGCATATCCATCCATTTGTTATGTATTTCATGGCAAAAGTCTTCAATTTTCTGAATAACAGTATTGAGCATTCTGATAAACAGCCAAAGGGTGCAAAGTTATGTAAATGTCTTGTTCTGGGTAAAGTAAAAATGTCTGTGGTATAAACTAGTCAGATATGTTACACTAATAAGAGCAAAATTAGTCTTGACACATTTCTGGCAGGTCTAGAAAAATATGAGATATGTTCTCTGCCACACATGAAGAATTGCCTCAGAGCAACAAAGGGTATCATTGTTGAGTCTAGAAAGGGCAGGAATGTGCTGTACTTGGACAGACCCTGCCTTTCTTCCAGTTGGACCGGAGTGGAAACCTCACTGACTACCCTGGTTGAGCCAATTCAGAGACTCAGGGGCTGTCTGCAAGCTCAGATGGGAGAGGGAAGGGCCCCAAGTGCAGGACTCAGGAGGTCACAGGTGCCACAGAAGTATGCGTCTGGCGAAGGCTTTGCATGTGAATAAACACTGACCAGCTCTGTATGAGGTGAGTAGAGAGAGACTGTAGAGAACTCTCATGGGCATTATTGGAATGAAAAATAATTTTCTCTTCCTATAAATAAAGCTGTGGAGTTATTCCAGAAAATAACATGGGAAATGCAAGGGTTGATTGCTAGTCAAACAGAAACTCTTTTGATTAAGCGTTTGGGAAGTTTGAAATGGACAGAAAGTTCAGGGCAGCTATGATCAACTACAGCCCCTGGGCTACATAGACTGCCCCCGTTTTTGTTTATAAAGTTTTATTAGAACAGCTTCACCAATTTGTTTACATCTTGTCTGTAGCTGCGGCAGAGTTTAATCGCTGGGACAGAGAGACCTTAGGGGTGATGGAGCTGCAATCATTTACTATTTGGCTCCTTAGAAAAAGTTGGCCAGCCCCTGAGTTTAGTGAATCACTGTAAAATTTAAAAAATTTTCTCTCCATAGGTTCCTCCTTTTCATCCCACCTATGAAAATATGCTGAAGAAAACAGGAAAGGCAAATGGTTTGATTTATAAGTCGTGTACATATGCTTAAAGGCTTATTGACCTTTCTGTTCTGATCTGAGGGGAAACTGATGGGAAACAATAGAAGGAAGGGGAGGGTGTAAAGGTCAAAGTGACAGTAAAATAGCTAGGGGGACATCAATTCTTAGGGTTGATTGTACTTCCAAAGACTTATTCCCAATTTTAATATCATTTCAATTCTTGTCAGATAACTCAGAGACGCAGTGTTTAAAAGGCTTAAAAATTCATCGAATCAAATGGGATTCAATCTGCAGCGCTCTCCTGCTCTCATCAGGTGTTGATTTCTTGGTACGGAAAAAATAACACCTAAAGGGAGAAAACAAGGTGTGTACCGAAATGACTTTTCTTTACTTCATAGTAGTGAAAATAAATCGAAACTCTCCAAACAAAAACTAGCATGCTATTTCCTTAGGCTATCTCATTTCCACACTTCTCAGAAATTTTTTCTGTATTAGATTAAAAAATACCCTTGACCTAGCAATTCCTTTAGTTCAAAATCATCCTAAATAAATTACTAAATATATAGACAAATATTTAGAGACAGAACATATAATACAAAATTCCTTATAACAAATAAATGTGAAATATCTCTAAATGGCCAATAATAGAGGACTTGGTTAAATTATGGCATATGTATTAAATGGTCTACTCACAGCCATTGAATGATATGTAAACAAGTATTTCTTAACATGGAATATGTTCATAATCTCATCTAAGTGATGCAAGCAGGGTAAAACACGGTATGTATGTTTTGGTACAATTTTTATTTCAAGTTGTCCCTTTATACCTATATCCCAGTTCTTAATTTTAAAGTTCTTAATTTTTTATATGGTCTAATTTAAAAATGTACAAATAAAAGTTTTACTTATGATTTTACAATGAAATTATAGATTAAATGTTCAAAAAACTGTATATTCTCATTTTTCCTAAGCAAATGAGCTTTCTTTTTATATTACATTATGCTACATTTACTAAAGCAATTGCCCAATAATTGAATGTAGAAATAAAATAACAGTATATTTCAGCTTCAACTGCAGTTTTTGTTCATTATATAGATTTTTCACTTGAAATATTTATGGAAATAACTTTGAAAAGTTTCTGAACGTGAAAGTGACGATCCATCTGAATTAGACGAACTTGAGTAAAAAAATCGACAAATAGACGCCTCTTGATCTTCACGGTCCTGACGGGGAAAGGACCAAGGGCATTGAACCATATGAACTTTGAAGTTCATTTCTAGTCTTGTAATTCATGTGTGCCTGAAGATGTGGACCTCAGGTGTTAATTTACTTCACATCAAAGACTGGTTCTAGAAGTCTATAGATTCTGGTTTAAATAAAATATGGTGATTAAAAAATTCAGTCTTACAAGTGGAGAATCCAGTTTAGAGGTGATCATTTGCCAACAAATAGATTAGATGAGCTTGTAAAGGTTGCTTTCTGGTTCTTCAGTTCACAGTGTTTCGGTGAAGCGGATGACGCGTCACACACCACAGCTGGGGTCATAGCCACAACTCTAGGGCTTCCTTTCGAAAGGATTGAATCCATGTTTACGTAACTGATTTTTCCATTATGCTTTATTGGATCACTTATTTGTTGGTATAAATAGTCAAGTTTAAAATTTTAATGCACATATAACTAATCAACTTGTACAACAACCTGAAACTGTTTTCTTACCAGATAGTCTAATTTCAGGGTCCTGAATGACTGAACTTTAGATGAGAGGGATGTGGGCTTCACCAGCTTTTGTAAACTTTAGGGGCATGATGCTGTAACATGAGGTGGGGAGAAGATCTCAGTTTCATCATTTCCTCTTAAACCTAAACTTAAACATATTTTGCTTTCCCTAGAATTACATATAGCAGTTACTTTGGAAGTTTTTGTAATGGAACATTTTAGGAATATAAATATAATATTCTGGAAATATAATGACCTACTATGAGTATTTACATTTTTTAGGAAATTGCTATTTCCCAAAAGATAGTAGGTACACTGAGCTGGCCATTTTGAATCTTGAATGCCCTGGTACATGTTAGCACGCTGCTCTTTTTGAGAGAGGGGATTCAACTCAGAATAAATTGTCAACAAAAGAAACATGGACTTGTATGGGTTTGATTTTATATATTGCATATATGAAATAAGCTTCTTTTAAGACAAAAGGGGAGTCAAATAGCTGATTTGCTAGTTATATTTGAAGAACTTGGGAAGAGGATATAAGAAACTAAAATTTTAATGCAGAAGAAAGCATTGGAGTGGTTCCTAAGAACATACTGGTATTCACTCATTAGATTACCACCTTTAATCAACATCAACATTCTAAACCACTACCAGTTAATTTTGTTCATAAAGCTTTCCATCATTATCCGTAAAGCTACCAAAGATTCACACGACTGGGGATCCAGTTTGGTGTTTTAGTATTTTGGTATGTCGTGAAGTGATAGAAATTTATTTTGTTGGTAGGCTGCCTTTCTTCAAATAATTTTATTAAAATCCCTGAATTACTGCTGGGGCTGGATTTTAAGGCTACATTTCTGACCCATTTTCCTGTGGGATCTGGCATTTGGGCACTAAAGTGAGCCACCATGTATTTTTTTAAATGTGAAAAGTGTACTCTGAAGGATTTTTTTGACATTCAACAAAAGTATCTTTTCTTATTGTTACTACAAAATATTTCACATGAGATGGTAAATAAACAAGGGCAGCCAATTTCCTTTTCCTGAACTCATCTTTTGAGATGCCACAAAGTGAGAGGGTGGTAGGTAGATCTGAAAATGTACAATGAAATCGGTGTGTATTCATTTGGGAAGGCAGACATGTCCAGTGAGTGTGTGAAATCGAAGCCTAGGATGGGAGAGGACGTGTTGCCGTAGGTGACAGGGTGAGATGAAGACTTCAGGTCGGACTCTTTTATTTCCGACCCTTGCTCTGGGGGCAGAGCACTGCCTGTCATTGCTTTTAGGGCTGGAGACCAGAGCCAGCTGTGTCACGGAACCCCACAGGCAGGCTGCTGGGGCTCCGAGAAGATTCTCATCTTTCCTTCCCACATCTGCCAAACTCCGTGGGTGAGTTTCCAGTGAAAGAGGAATATCTTGGAATCTATGGAAAAGAACAGGAGTGGGGGTAGGGGAGTGACTCACATTAACAGGAAATGGAAATGCGTGGAATAACCACCCTCAAGAAATAAGGAAGGATGTTGGCATTTCGAAGCAAATTAAAAAGAAGAACCAAACAGAAATACTGGCCTCAAAAAATAAGGAGTAAAAGAAAGTATTCAATAGAGAAGGTGAGTATATAGTGGCTGTAGTGAGAGAGTGAATTAGTGCCAAAGAAAATCAGTCCAAGGAGCACTCCCAGAGGGCGTCATGCGTGGATAAAGAGGTGGCAGATACAAGAGCAAAGGGATGCGATAAGCAGGGGGAAGTAAATATGTCAACAGGCCTTTGAGAGGCACAGAAGACTAAAAATCAATAGAGACACTTCAGTTTCCGCTTAGGTTGTAGGAAGCTGCAAAGAGCATCCCTCCCACCTGGCTGTCTTCCGAGCAGAGTGACACTACCCCGCCCGTGCACACAGGGGCAGGCAGCTGAGGAAGCAGTGTGCATATTAATTAGGGTTCTTAAATAACGGCGTATATATTGTACATCCTAAGACAGTCATTAAAAGTGCACTAAGATAAGATACAAGTAATAAGTTAATGTTGGAGATAATTGCAATCATTTAAAAACTCAATCAAAAAGGATGCAGGAAAAGAGGAAAACCTTTTTTTCCCCTAAGAAATATTTTTTATCACATTTTTATTGGCAAAGTTAAAGTTTATTGCCACATTTTATTAGCAAATGTTATTAGAATAAACATATATAATATATAGGTTTTAAGTCTTCAGCAAACACTTGCTGAAGTGCCACATTTTATTGGCAAAGTTAAAGTTTATTGCCACATTTTATTGGCAAATGTTATTAGAATAAACATATATAATATATAGGTTTTAAGTCTTCAGCAAACACTTGCTACATCTCAACTCCCTGTTGGTCTACTGTTCAAATGAGCTTAACCAGACAAACATAAAAAATGACAAAAAGTATATTAATATTTACATCAAATTTAATAATCTAGACATGCTGATTAAAAGACAGAGACTGTCAGGTAAGATAACAGGATAAAAAAGCCAGGCCCACCTATGCTCTCTCTACAAGTAACCAACTTAACATGTAGTGACAGAGACAGATTAAAAGTCAAAAGCTGGAAAAAGATACTCCATGCAAATATTAAAAAGAAGATAGAGTGGCTGTATTAATATCAGGGATTGTTGACTATACAACAAGGAATATTTCCAGGAATAAAGAGATATATTGTATAATGATAAAGGGATAAATTCACCAAGAAGACATAATCTTAAGGGCATATATACCTAACAAGAGAGTTTGAAAATAACATGAAACGAAAACCAATAGAACTGAAAAAAGAAATAGACAAATCTGTAATTATCGTGTGAGATTGCCACATTCCTCTTGCAAGCAACTGATACAGCTGGTAGATGGGAAATCATGAGGATGTAGAAATCTTGAGAAACACAATCAACCAATCTATGTTTAACTCAATTTAAGAATATAGAAAAAATCAGTAGAAGAGAGAAAATGTTTGAAGACATGAAAGGATATTTTCTTTGGAATAAAAGAAAGATATATAAGACCTCAGAGTAAAAGAGTTCATAGATTTTAGTGCAAGCTAGATAAGAGGAAAAAAACGAACAAGCCCCCCTACACACTGACATGTAAGAGTAAAATTTAAGAACACCAAAGAAAAGCAGAAATTTCTAAGATCTTAGGGGAGCAGAATGAATTTGGTACCATTACAGCAACACTGGATAAAGGAAGAAAAGTATCTTTACTGTTTTTGAAGAAAAAGCTTCAAATCCAATCTCCTACAGTCAAATCAACTAGCAGTTAAATGTGAGGTTGAGCCAAAGAGTATCTCCTGCAGAATATTGGGCTTAAAAAAATATTTTTAATGTTACTTAGAGAATTAGGAAAGCAAGAAAGGAGGCACATCTACTAGTAAACAAATACGCACATACATACAAGGCTGAGCGAATAGCTTTAGCAAGGTTCATTGTTTTCACAAAAGAAAGAAGAACAAAAGCCATCTGTGATGACCTTGAACTAAAATACTAGGTGACACCAGTAGGGCTGGTGCGGCAGGGTCCTGAAGAATGTAATGGCAAAATCAGAGGGAGGGCAGAGCCTGATTACAGGTAATTAGAAATTTAAAACATCTGTGTAGAAAAATAAACACAAATGTGGGTCTTAATAAGTTAAAAGTAATACCTGGAGAATATACATAGAATGCTTTACTTGCAAGCCAGCAGAAAATGGTTTGATTTATTCAATGAAAAAGATGGAAGGAAAACAACAAAAAAATGGAAGTCTGGTAAGTAAGAAGTATAAAAAAAGAGAGTATACCCAAATCCTAAATAAACATAAATGGGTGAAACCAGTCAATAAAAACAGACAAGGTAAAATGTGAGATTCTTCTGGTAAAAGGGATCATATGTCTTGTGTTTGGCTTGCTTCCCATCTGCAGTTGCATGTGCATGACTTCACATGAATTATTTCACAAGACAATGACCACATTTTCACTCCATCAAAAATAGAAGTTTACACAATTACTAACTGTATTTATTTCCCAGATGTGGATGTAGAGGGCTTTACAATGCCCTGGGCAGAAGTGAGGTGCTTCTAGAGGCTCAAGAAAACAAACCAATTGCTTTCATTCTTCTCTACATTCACTTGCCAAGAAAAATTCTGAACTGGCTTTCAGACTTTAGTAGATTAGATTTATGGTAATTAGAAATATATTCCTATGTAGATTGTTTGGTTAAAAGATTTTATGCTGATATTTAGTGAATTTTAAGGTTATTTAAAGTAATCCACCAAGTTTTTTCCAGAACCTCAACTAAACCCAATCTTTGGAGAAACAAGGTAAGCCAAACAAACCTTTAATTTCAAGAGAGAAGTATATTTCAAAATGAATGGTGAAAGATTTTGACTTTGTTATAATTATTTCCATTTCTTTTTTAACAGAACTGTTAAACTGGTCCTTTCTATAATTCAGACAAATGTTTTTAATAGTCCTCCATCTCTTTGACAAATTAGAAAGATCTAGATTTTTATATAAGCCTTGTCAAACACTTCTAGGTTTGTATTTTTTCCAGATAAATGTAATAATACCCATAAATCATATTTAATTTTGGACTCTAATCTAAAATTGCCTTGAAATAATTGGAAATATGGCAAAAGCTTTTCTCAAGGTATGCAACATTTTGCTCTCAAAGTTTGGCTGAACTATGAAACCAGTGTGAACCTGGACAGAAAAGGGGGAGGAAGGGTGTAAGAGAATGGGAAGGGGGAGGGGAGGAAGAGATCCTGTATTAGGCGGAGTCCAGTGCTAAAATGTGATTTCACATTGGATGGTATCATATTTTATCAAAACCTGCCTCTTTGTGATTTGTGGTGTTGTGTGTGAGTCACTGGAATGACCACGAGCCCACAGGCTGAAGATTACAATACAAATAACAAAAATTGCATTTCCCAGTTTTCAGTAGTTCTGGTTGGGCGGTTTGCCAGCTTTTTCAGGATAAGAGTAAGGAGGAAACACAGTTTCTACAGAAGTGGTGTTTCTTTCAAAAACATAATTCAGACATGCGTGGAAATGGAACCTTTGAATTTGCTGTTCAGACTACCGAAGACAAAGCAGCATTGTTATGTGACATTCATCATTGGTGCTAAAACGACTGCAGTGTCAGGAGTGTATTTTCCCTGTGAGTTTCCTGGAGTAATGGGTTAAGAAATACGATATGCTGTGGGCATGTCGCAGTCAGACTCAGTGACTCATACGTTGGCAGCAGCCATGTAAACAGGGCTACTGTGTCTGAAGGTAATGGGTAGCTGGCTCGCTACCTTCTTAGCAGGTCAATGTGCACATTAACCTTAAATAATTTCAAAACCTTAAGTATTTACAAAGACTTGATTTCTGAGATCGTTGAGTTCTGATATGAGTCTTTTCACTAAAATACAATGAAAACCTACATGTCAAAATCAAGATATTCAGCATTTGGGGTTTTTATGCCTCTGCCCAGTCCATCCTTTTAAGTTTTTAAAGGTAACGAGTTTGATCTATTCTGGATCCCCTATATTATAGATTCCTCGAGGATCCTGGAAGTGTATTTACAAATTATTTTTCAGCAGAGGGCTGTCCTCTTGCCAGGATATATTCCAACGTGCTAGTATAATGGAGCTGAATGTTAAACTGACGCTCTTCACTATTCCAAGAACTTGGTCTAGGCAAATATATTTAATAAATGATGATTCTGAATAATTTCTCTTGAGGGATTTGGCAAAATTAAAGTCAGTAGAGTTATTAATTGTACTGGAAACCCCAGGCAGTACAAGGGCACCCTAAAGACAGATGGCCTCTCCCGACTGGTGGGCCAGGTTTGACTCTCGTCTCTGGCAGCTGCACACCGTGAAGTTGGGGAAGTTCTACATTCTCTGTGAGCCTCAGGATCTCATTGATCAATGGTTAGAGAACTAATCAAACTGACAGGACTTTTTAAGTAAAAAAAAATGAGACAACATATGTAATTTTCCTAGCACCATGTTAATGTAGTCATTGTTATGCTTTTAGGCTAATAAGACAAAGAACATGAGGTCAGTCCATCTGTTATACTTTATGGATTGATATAAACTGATATTTTAGTAAATATCAAACTTTAGTAATGAAAATCATGCAACGACTCAAAAGCGTTAGTTTGTAATTTTGTTGTATTATTGTTGTAAACATTTTGGCATTGCTGGAAGAGCTTAATTCATCTAAAATTCATACAAAACTTTATGAAATATATATATTTCATAAAGTTTTGTATGAATTTAGTTAGGCTAGATATATATATATATATATTAGCCTAACTAATTTGGTTTAAAAGCAAAAGACTGAGTTACCAGAAGTAGTTTCATTCTTCTAAGGATCTGTGGGGGAGCTTTAGAATTTCTGTTTCCAGTTAGTTAATTTTGGAGATAAATATTTTTTAAATGTCAGAATTTTCCATTTTTAGTACAGTAGGATGAGAAATTTTAAACATTTTATTTTGGTAAGGTTTCAAGTTTACAGAGAAATTGCTGGAATAGTACAAAGAACTCCCCTGTGTCCTTCACCCAGATTCACTAATTGTTGATGTCTTTGCTCCTGTTCCTTCATCATTTGCTCTTTATAAACATATTTCTAATTTTTTGGAAGTAACAGCAGACTTTACACTTATGTTAAATACTTGTGTATATTTCCTATGAAGACTCTATTGCAAAGCTAATAAAATGACCAAAATGAGAATATATAACACTGATAGAACGTTACTACTTTATCCAAAGTCCATATTTGACTTTTATCAACTATCCAGTAATGTGCTAAATAGCTGTTTTTTCTGGCCTAAGATTTCCAGGATTACTCATCACCTTTAGCTCTCATGTGTGCTGATGGTCCTTTAATCTGGAATAACGCTTTAGTCTTTTTCTGTCATAACGTTGGCAGTTTTGAGCAGTGCTTATTTTTTTAAAGAATTTCCTCAGTCTGAGTTTACGTGATGTTCCCTCTGATTAGATTCAGGTCAAGCACTCCAGACAGGGGAACAAATGGGGGGCTGTGTTCTCTCAGGCCACCCTGCCAGGAGGCAGTGATGTGGGCTTGTCTCAGCCCAGCGCTGGTGATAGCAGTTGCCATCATATGGCTACTCCATACCTGCTAACTTTTTCCACTGTGAAGCCATTATTTTCCCCTCAGTAATTAATAAGTAATTTGTGGGGAGATACTTTTAGGTTATGTAAATATTCTTTATTCCCCAAACTGTCACCTACCCTAAGCACTCAATGGTAATTGTTGTCTAAATCAATTCTTATTAGAAGGGTTGCAAAGTGGTGATTTTCTAGCTCTACCATCCCTCTCACATTTATTGGTTGACATTTTACTATGAAGGGAAGACTTCCTCCCATTTATTTAGTGTTAATTAACATTTTTATTTGTATAGATTCACAAATTCTTATTGAGTTCTACTTACTGAATTCAACATCTCCACTGAATTCATTACCTTCATCGTTATTAAGATTCTTTTTTCACAATTTTCACACGTGGGTCAGCTTTCTTTTTCCAAGGGGTTTTTATCTCAATCCTTTCTTCCCCTTCTTGTGCATTTTTTCAGAGACCTTTCTCCGCGTGAGTGATTGCAGAGGGATTTCAAAAGTTGGCTTTGCTGGAATTTGGTGCTTGTTTTTCTACTTACAGGTGACTTGCAGTGTGTAATGTTGTCTGTCTTCTAGTTGTACCCAAAGAGTGAGTTTTGTGTAGTTTTATTTGTTGTTTTCATTGTTTGGAGGAGTCCTCCCCTCAACTGCCCAGGACTCTTGGAGGCAAAGACTTTAAAAGATGGCCTTGAAGTTCCTTTAGGAAGAGGACTTGCCTTTGTAAAATGATAAAACAATTTCTGGGCATAACACGAAAACTTAATGGCATGGATAACAAGAAAATAAAAAAGAGTGAGACTGGATATTCCTTGTGACAGTGATGAGCAGATCTTATAGGAAGAATAGAGAGAAGAGTGAGCAAGGAGAGGAGGAAGGGACAGAAAAGCCACCGAGTCATGTGACAGACGCCCACAGAGGAAGTGGGCATTACGCAATTTCAGAAGGCAGGTCAAAGAAACGTGGGAACTGAGAATGTCAATATCAACAATGTTTACATTTTTTGAAGCCCTGTAAGTAAACTTCTCTGACATTCCAAATCCTAAGTTCAGCATCTCACCCGGGCAGACCCTGTGCGGGGGAGCAGTTTGTAGGGGTATTGAAAGGATAGGTGTTGCCTTTTTGTATCTTGGTTTGTCACAGAACAAGGGACATGAGACCAGCTACAGAGGACATGGACAGCGCAGGGGCAGGTGAGCAGAGCTGGAGCAATCAGGACTACGTCAATGCCGGGAATTCTCGGAAGTCTTGGTGAGGGCACTAGATTTCCCAGAGAACACAGGACACAGTGCTTGAATTAATTTTGTCTGACTTTCAAAGGTCAGGATGTCCTTGACAAATATCTTTGTCACACTAATAGTATTAAGGTTTTCTGCCACTTGAAAAGATAAGCAAAATTCGTGCTGCTTAGGTCTCCGTTATAGGCATAGCTTTGGTCTTATCACTCACCAGAGGCTCGCACTCATCTCTGATGTGAAATGGATTTATTAAATTTGTCTCCCTAAGCAAGATTGGCAGTAAATACCTGAACCCTACTACTCTGACAAGATCTCAGGGAAAAGTAAGAACCCAATACAGGCTGTGACGTGGGCTAAGCCAGGGTATGGTGGACTGAAGTCACATTAGGAAGGACACCGAGAGTGGATCTGTTTCGCCTGGGGTTATAGTCGTTCTGTTACAATGACCCCACTGATGTATTTAAAGTACTGTTGTGTAGAAAATGTTTTTCCTCTAACAATGGATTCCGTGTTAAAGCATTATTTGTCAGTGCAGTTTAAAGTTGAAAATTCATGAATAAAACAATGCAAGAGAAGACGGAGCCTTGCAGAAATGATCGTCATGGCCCCTCCCTCTACCACCCACCATCCATCCCAGTCTCCTCTTCCTTTTTTCGGTGAAGACACTAAATATTCATTGCACAAGATTTTTATAAATAAACTATTTTCAGCGGCTGTTACTAATTACATAAATTTTTTTTCATTGTTCATTTATTTTCCTGTCAATTGAAAATTGCTTGAGTATCTTTGGGATGAGATAAATCATAATTTGTTCCATCAAATTAATAGGATTAGAAAAATTAATGGCTTTTCATTTATCAGCAAAGTTTTCCGGAATGAGTTAAGATTAACCGAGAAAGGCATAGGTGTGCTTATTTACTGTTTGATCCGTTTGCCATGGACTGCCAAATTCCCATT